CAAGCACTCTGGGACAGTATTTATAGACCAAAGGAGCGGCGCACATGGACCAGGAGTACCGACGAAATAAGCCTGACAAAGAACACAGTGAAAGGACAGGACTCAATAATGGATGACTCAGGCGAGAGGAAAACAGTGCTCGAAGACGGGCATATTCGGAAGAATATACCATCACAGTACAACCCGTGAACAAAAAGCATTTACACTCAACCACCACCATACAACTATATCTGACAGCAGCAGACTATCAAAGAATACGCCAAGACCTCGCATCTGAGTTCTTCCTGAACAAAACAACACGGATATACACTCGGGGGCTCGGCCAGCATCACAGCTTAATCAACACTAAGCTAGGGAATTCGGCCCTCATTTCAACTACTCCCGGGGGCTCAGAACCAAAGACAAAAGACAAAAGGTACAAGAAACTCAAGACTACAACGACGACGACGCATCAAGACTCTTCAACCGACTTCTTTTTCAAAAGAAAAGAACTCGGAGAAAGCACGAGGCTGCGGGATACGTAGCCCCAGAATTTTTTGAAGACAGGAATCTGGACCCTCCAACTTTTGCAAGCAAAAGCAAGAGGCTCGGGGGCTACACTCAGTGAGTGTAATTTTTATGAAAAATTGAACCCACCAAAAAGAACCCGGACATAGGCTCGGAGGATGCACACCGTGAAACTACTCGGATGATGGTTTAATCCAAGACTAAAGGACCACTTCGGAAAGATACCACAAAAACTACTCGGATGAGGACAAAATTCAAGTCTCAGGGACTACTTCAGAGCACAGATTTTCAAACAAACATAAAGGATCAAGACCCTTCAACTTTTTGTTCCAAATAGCAAGAGGCTCGGGGGCTACACTCAGTGAGTGCACTTTTTCTCCGGAAAAGCGCACGTCACCAAAAGACTTCCTCAACGCAGACTACTTCAAGACATTATGACAAAAAGAACCCGGAACGAGCCATATTCGAGTTCTTTTTGACAAAACTTCAACGAACAATCAGAGCAACTTCAAGACTAGATCCTCCAGCTCCTTGTTCCAAATAGCAAGAGGCTCGGGGGCTACAACCAGATGGATGTACTTTTTTCTTCACAAAACACTCACCACTCGAAGGTCCCAAGAAGCGCTACAAGGTTTCACTCCAGAAAGCATTCGGATAACATTTTGTTCCTACCTAACAAGACTTGAAGGAGCAAAGCGAGACTTTCAGAGCTCAACCATGAAGTGCTCGGGGGCTTGTCGATGCGGGACCCACAGGATACCCCGCAAGAGAGAGAGAAGATCTAGTTCAACTAGGATTCTTCCCATGTAATCTTAGTAATAGAACTATTAAGTAATCCTACTAGAAAATCTCATTGTAAACCGACTAGGACTCTGGCCTCCTGACTATATAAAGGAGGGCAGGGCTCCTGAAAGAGCAAGTACAATTGTACAACATAACACTTCATAATCAATCCAACGCAAAAGGCAAACGCCGACTGGACGTAGGGTCGTTACTCGATCTACGATCGAGGGCCTGAACCAGGATAAATCGACTGTCTCTTGCGTTTACCATCGAGTTCAGCTACGCCGAAGCCCGAACGAAACTGCCACGGTACCCCTGTGGCAGGCTATCGGTGGTAAAACATCGACAATCGCCGAGGTGTGACACTGCACCACATACACTGCCACTGCTGAGGTGTTGTAGGAGGAGGATGCCAACACTGACGCTTATGCTAGTATGGTCAGGCTTGCGGCCCTATGCCCCGCACAGCACCAGGCCTGCAGCCGCTGCCCATACTGTTGCCCTAACACAGCTGCGCCCTCCTCTATGACACAACAAGAGAGAACGAAGGGGATGGTGAGATAGAGTCGGGTAGGGAGAGAGAAGAGAGGTTGCGGACGGAGAGCATAAATCTTTTTTTAGTGAATTAGATCTAAACTTTATCCCAGTATATAAACAGCTCCCTTGTCTAAAGTTTAGTGGCTAAAGTTTAGCCCTTAACTTTAGCTAACTTTAAATCATGGGATCCAAATAAGTAAGTTACTATGTTCGGTCTGAAATATAATAGATTATTTTAAACTATTATAAATCAAAATATTATAAATTTAACTAAATTTAAAGAAATGAGATGCAATATTTATTCTATCGAATGAGCATCATTAGACACAATATAAAATATATTTGTATAATTTATCTCTCTGATGTATAAATAGTAATATTATTTTCTATAAACTTAACTTAAAATCCATTACATTTGAGGGTGAAGATGATAGTAGTAGAATAATATATTTGAACAGTAATTATTACTAACTGCTTCATCTTTATCCAAACATCAAGAGAACTCAGGAAAGAACCAAATGTTTTCTAGAGCCAGTGACCTGTATATATATAGTACAGTAAACTGCAGGTTATTAACAGCAAAATAGTTACTTCGTACTACATATATAGGAGTACATATTTATTGGCTTATTACCATGTTTCTAATATGTGAGAGAGGAACAGGAGATTTGGTCAACTCATCATTTTGTTGTGATTGATTCATTTGAAACTCCTACTCCCTCTTCGCATCAAAGAAAACTTCTTGACTCGCTGCCCAAGCAATGCAAACGCCAGTGTTATATCCTGTGGTTGATTATCACCACTTTTGGATGATCTCATGCATTGCTCTTTTTCTATCAGAATGAAATCAAGTGGCTATTCCTTAAGACGAGAGAGAGAGAGAGAGAGAGAGAGAGAGAGAGAGACGGATTTGGTACTAAGCCGCCCATGTGTGCCGTGTGCGTCGATCATCAACTCACGGTTGTGTTTAACTGTTTACCGATGTGATTGGTCCAACAATGCAAGTCACTGGAAACAGCGACACCCATGAAAATTCTGTGGACGTACACGGCACACTGTGCGCTGACGTACTTAAAACAGATCGAAACAACGGTTATCTAGAATATGTGTACATGTGAAAGAAGTATGCACATGATTCATCCTCATCTAGAGTCTTAAGTCACGTGAATAAGATAAGCAGATTTGTGGCTGTCGAGTAACCCAACAAATCACAAACGGCGGCTCGAGTGCTTAGCCACATTTTCATACACTAACAGTTGATCCGTACATGGATACTATATATAACTTGCAAAATCATTGTGATTTAAGATTTACAGATGGCTGATGTAAGGTAAATATTGACTATACATTTCAAAAAAAATTTGACTACGTTTGCTTAGGATTTACTCTATTGAATCAGAGTCTCAAAGTCATGGCGTAACTTTTTTTGTTTGGTTTGACTCTGCCACATGCATGAATGGAACAGGGAAACATAAATTAATCTTTAGGTGAAATACATATATGGAATGATAAGACAGTGCTTGTTATAACAAAAATGTACAAAAATAACACATTACTTGTAAGTTGTAGCAAGGCTCATTACCGATTGGCAACATTTATTTGGTGGCTTATATTTTAGGGCCGGGAGAGCTGAAGTATATATGCCCGTGCTTTGGGTTATTAGGAAAAAAACTAATAAAACAGAAATGATGGCTAAATTATCAAGATCAAGATCCTTGGCTTCTTTTTATTCTCTATAGAGGTCTTTGCCCACATGGAAGCGGGGCAGAGATGGATAAGATCAAACACATGAATAAGAAGTATTTCAAATGTATTTTTGGTCATTTTAGTTGATAGAGGGGGATGGATAAAGCGGGCAAAATAGACTGACATTTTTCAATGAATAAAATAAAAAGATGGGGTTTTCCACCCTAAAATATTTCATGTACTATATATAAAATAGTAGTTGAATCAACTTGTACTGACTAAAAAGTTAGTTCACTTCCTCTTCTACATAAAAATTGACAATTTTGAGATATGAAAAGTATCTCGCGATGAAAAATGGAAGCATGATTGGGAAGGTATTTTCCCCTATTATAACATGGAATAATTATCTGTAAAGAACGAAGTATCCTTGCATAAGATAATTGTGACTTTATTGATTTGTGTCCTAACATGTTTAATGGGACTAATGGTATTTGCTAGTATACAAGATATTAGTGTTATCTCTTATGGATGCAAAGTGATGTACTTGGGTAATGCAACTCAAAGGAACATCAAGCATAAGTTGAAGACCCTATAAGACATGCATGTAACAAGGCATCAAAGAATTGAAATTTGGAGTACGAAGAATAGAAGTAAATCATAGCACCATATACAAAATAGTAATTTCATAAATGGGATAGCACCACCAGATAAATAGGCGATTGATCTAGTGATCGACAGATGGGCCAAGACCCGATGAACATTGGTTCATCATATGATCTTGTGCTTTGACAGATGTACCAAAGCATTATCACCGGAGATTTGTCCAAGGGAAGAGGAAGGAGGCACAAAGAACCACGATATGCTCTGGTGAAGAAAATAAAGTAATCGCCAGACAATTTGACAAATATGTACAGATATGAGTAGGATGGCGCGCAGGAGGCACAAATGTTCTGAAGCGCACTAGGCTATCCGGTGACATGGCTGGCGGACTAACGGCCAGTTCATGGCACAATGACCCAGTGTGATGAGTATTTCAGCCACCGGATCATCCGATAATTGTAGAAAATGTTGCTGATGGTTGCAATGGCTAGTTCTTCAACTTCTTTGGTATGTTTATATCCCTCCAACCGATTAGCGCCATTCAGAGTCACCCTAGTCGGATGATGTGGGACGGAGTGACGAGCTCAACAGCTCTAATAGCTAGACAAAATTAAATTTGTGATACGGTCATGAGAAATGGAACACTATGAAGATGTAATTTTCACTCGATGCAACTGTGCAAAATTCATATATGTTCCGAGCAGAGGCTCCTCCAACACCCACCCATTTAGTTTTGGGCCCTATTGAGGGGGGAAAAGGCAATCTCAGAATAAACAATCGTATTCTTAATGCTTTACCAGAAATAACCATACTTTTTTTGAAAAAAAAATTGATTTACCATGTTAAGTGTTATACTACTTCAGTTCTGGTGTTACACAGCGCACAGTTTATGCCGCCACGGCCTTCGTCCGATCCCGCTCGAGCAGCCCCCGGAGCACGACCGGTTCCTCGTGATCTGTCGAGTCCACGTCAACCGCCACCTCGCCGGCCGCCTCCCTCCGCCGAAGCCTGGACCTGGACAGGGCGGCTAGCCAGGCGCACACGCAGGACACGGCCCAGAGCCACCCGCCGAGCAGCCCCGCCATGGACACCGCGACCACCACGGACAGCCCCACCACAGGGCCGAACGCGCCCACGCCGGCCCCGGTTTTGCTCGGCTTGGTGGTGGGCGTTCGCGTCGTCTCGGCCGGAGGAGCACTCCGGGGTTGCTCGGCTCCGCGGGAGCGGCTGCCGTTGCTGTTGCTGTTGCTGCCACCGGTGGCTTGGATCTGCAACGCCTCGGACGGTGAGTTCTTATCGCTTTGTGAACGCCGCGGCGGCGGATGCTCCGTGCGCTCTGGGTGCCGTTGTTTGTTGCGGCCGCTGCTGCTGTCCATGGCGCTCTGCTGTGATGGGTAGGGAAGCAGAATATTACCTTACCATTTGACGACAACAAAGTTTTCGTGAATTTTAGCAAAAAGAAACTCTCTGAGTGAAATTTTCAAATGACAGCTCGCATATGTACGATTTGAACAGCAATTTTTTTTTCAAGAACTTAGTAAATGGCGTCCAGGCGCCATTTGCTTCTCACCTCGCGTCCAGGCGCGCGCGCCGGCGCCAAGAAGCAGCATCCCGGGAGGCGAAGCCCCTTCCGCCTCCGGGACTCCTCCTCGTCGGTGCCGGTGCCGGTGCCAGTGCCGCGCCTCATCACCTCCGAATCAGCCGCCGTCCCCACCAGGTCCCCGTCCACCACCGGGACGGTGCGCTTCTTCCTCCGGCGCCGCGACCTCTCCCACGGTGTCGTCCCCTCCGCCGGCGACGCCTCCTGGCAGCGCTCGCGACGGCTGCCGCCGAAGCAGAACTGCAGGGTGACCCAGCTGAGGTTCCGTCGTCGTCGCCCGCCGCTCGCAACGTCCTCGTGTGCCGGAGCCAGGCACCGAATGCACGCGCCCGCGCGCGCGCAAGAACTGGTGGCAATCCCGGACTCCACCGATATTAGCAAGGCAGCCTTCGAACAAAGAATGATTAGTTAATGGTGGCCTCCCGCCATCAGACATGCATGGTTTATGCGTTAATAACCATCGGATTAGCGGAGGGAATCTGGGTGATTTGCGCCGAAGCAACGAGCCGAATTATACGGTCAAGTACGGCAGTGCCTACGAAAGTCGTCCGTCACAGCTGATGACTTGTGCAGTACGCACAGGAGCAATTGGACGAATCTGGCATCTAGATGAGAGTGAGACTCCCATGCCATGACAAAAAAAAAAAAAAGAGATAGTGCATTCAAAAAAAAATACTCCCTAAAATTCTTGGAACGACTTATAATTTAGGATTGAGGGAGTAATAAAGAGAAAGGAGTAGTTTTAGCGGTGTTTTTCTGTGCACTTCGACGGAATTTCCTAAGAATAAAAGTCAACGTACAAATGTTACATTCGGTCTGTTTACGCTACATTCGGTCTGTTTTATTTGTTGGTTATTACCACAATTTGCCAAATTTTGCCATGCTTTAGTTCGTGTCACATTTTTTTTTTGCACGAACCTCCTTTGTCTCAAAATAATACAATTTATAACAGTGCTAAGCAAAATGATTCGAAGTTTGATCAAATTTATATTAAAAGATATTAATAATTATGAAATATATTTTTATGGGATACCTATTTGGAGTCATACATATTGAAAATATTTTTTATAAATTTAGTAAAATTTAAAATTGTTTGACTTTAATCAGATCTAGAATTGTATTTGTTTTTATGAGATGGAGCTAGTACGTAGAAGTATAAAAAAATGGAACGTAGCCATCACATGTGTTTGAGAATAATTTATTAAAGACGCCTGGGCACTAGTAAATTGTGTTCGTGGTGCATTGCACCGTGGTATAGCAAGGATCCGTGTGTTTGGTTTGGGGACCGATGGGTTGGGTTGGGTCCAACCTAGTTTTTTAAGGATGGGATGAGTCCGTTTCGTGTTTGGTTAAAAGGTCAGGTTGAACCTAGTTTTTTTTTTGTTTGGTTGCAAGGTTGGAGAGGGATGAAATGGATGCCATTTTAAAACCGTTAACAACACCATTAGTGGGACCCACCTGTCACCCACTTTATTTTCTTTTTTCCCCTCATCTTCTTTCTCCGCTCAGTCGAGCCCCAGCCCGAGCTTGTTCACAGCGCCATGCCCTCCACCTCCTAGCCCTGCCCGGGCAGCCACTGCCTCCCCGCCCCCGCGCGGCCATGGCGGACACCACCTCCTCGCCCCGGGCAGTCCCCGGCGCCCATGGCGGCCACCACCTCCTCGCCCCGCGCAACCCCCGACAGCCACGGCAGCCACTGCCTCCCTGCCCCGCCCCAGCCCGTCCTGACCCGGTGGCCATGGCGGCCACCGCCTCCTCGAGCAGGCCCCGCTGGCACCTCCCTGCCCCGGTCCGCGCCCCCAGCTCGCGCGAGCTCGCCCACGCCCGCTACATGGCGCCACCTCCCAGAGCTCGAGGTCACCGGAGGAGCTCCTCCCTTGCCGCTGCCCGCCCGTCCGCTGGTCGCCCAAATCTGGAGAAGCGGATCCACGAACACCGACGCCAGGGACGGTGGAAGTCGCGACGAAAGGGAGTGAGAAGGAGACGGCGACCGCGACATCGTTCTCTTGGGTCCAACTAATCCGCCTGATTTGGAGGGACCTCAAGAACCAGCATCTGAAGGCATATTCCCTCTTGGGTCTGACCCAAACCCACGTAGATCCTCAACCAAACAGCAGACTATCTGGGTCGGACCCAGGATATCCAGTTCAACCCGCAAACCAAACACACGGGATAAGAACCAAACATACAGCCTGTTTGGTTGGCTGGTTCGTATTGTTACTGGTTCGTTTATGTGAGAGAGAAGTATTGCTGGCTGGTTCGTGTAAATAGTAGCCATGTGAGGGGGCTAGCCAGCCAGCCCAGCCAGCCCCAGCCCAGCGATCAGGCTGATGATCTTTGTCTCGATATCTTTTACACTGATTTATTTTTATTGTTTTGCTATTTTCTATTATGGGTCACTGCTATTGTGACAAAAATACATTGTTCAATTGAATTGAATTATAACCGCCGGAGAGATGTAACACTCTCGGTGTTACACCCTAAATCATTTACTAAGACATGCCATGAGCACCATACTTATGTGTTAGTGCATGTGATGGAGTGCATAGATAAAGCATTGCAATTAAAACGATCAATAAAAGTGTTAAACAAAAAGTTACTCCATAACTCATACAGTTAACAAGTAGGGTTGTAAGTCAATTTTTATTGAACAAAAAAACTATAGAACACACATGTGACACTTAAATAAAGTTTAAAATATGAACTTTGTAGATGACAGTGAAATACTTGCTGTTGAAAAATGATATTACTAACTAATATTTCTACCAGCCTAGAAATTGTAAATTGAAATCAAGTTCAGCTCAAAAACCTAGAAAAATTTCCAAGTTTGTCAACAGCTAGACATTGCTATTTTTAGCAAATTATTTTGAGAGATTGGGTTAATTAGTGGTGTAGTGTTATAGCTCGATTTGGTAGTCTCATATACCATCTTGAGTGTACTAAGACCGTTTAGGTTTTGTAGCAGTGGTTTAGTCACGGTGGGAGCTTTAAAAACCGTGCACAGCGCATCCTTAGCCTATTTCCCCGAGTGGGCGCGGTCATCGTGCCTCAGGGGCACGACGTCGTCGCGTCAGTGCGTCTTGAGCGCGCCCGCGCGCTGTCCATGCTCGGCTAGCCTTGCCGGCCAGCCGGTCCGTCGGGGGCGCTGCGGTGTGGGGCCGCCGCTGCTCCTCGCATGGTCGTGCGGCGCAGCCCCTATCCCACGCACTGCCGTGCTGCCAGCCCACCGTGCGTCACGACGCAGCCGCTGGCACTGCCGTCGCGTCATCCTTTTGCTGCGCCTCTGGCCCGGTTGGATGCCACGCGCACGTGGCCGTGCTTTGCCATCGCCATGCCATTGATGGCACTACGGCGCGTTGGCCACGCCGGTCGCGAATGCGCGCGCCTGTCTGCTAGCGCCTGGACGTGGGTCTCCACAGTCGCGCCAACCACTTCCAGCCAAGGCGCGCACACGCCGAGCCACCGGCCGTACCCCACCAACCTCTCTCTGTTTCTCATCTCTTTGCCACTGTCGAGCCGCGCCCACGTGCGAGCCAGAGAGCGGTCACCTCTACTCAATTCCACCCATCTGCACCTTCGCTCTCCCGTCTTGTCGTCGCCCGACCCCGCACAACCATGATGACGCCACGGCCAAGCGCCAATTTGGCTCCTTTCGACCGGCATGCCGTTAAGGCCGCACCTCGGCCATGACCGAGGACAGACCTCCATTCCTCCACCCGAGCCCAATTACTTGCGCCACTACATTCGCCTTGCTCTCCTCTTAGCCCTACGCACCCCAGTCCAGTCGCTACTGCCTCTACTCCGCCGCTGACGTGACCGTGCCACCGTGGTACGCCACCGCACGGTTTGGCCGCACGCGGCCGACCTCCCTCCGTCGTTCTCCGCTCCAACCGTCATTGCGGCTTAGCTTATGGTAGTCCCTTGATGCTCTCACGGTAGCTGATTGGGACCGTAGCAGCTCTAGTTCGTCGGGACGGCTGCGCCACCGTTGCGACCGGCCACGCGCTGCCGTAGCCATCTCCAGCTTGTCCCATAGCCCTACGTCGCTGCTAGGTGTAGGTAGTGGAAACCTAGATGAGTGTCGGCCTGATCGACGGCCCGGAGTGGACCTCTGGTGGTCGGCGTAGCTTCTCCATGCCGTCGCTCACCGCGCCGCCACGCGTGGGGTCACCGGGGGGTGTGCGCGGGAAAATTTCTGAAATTCCGGGGGTTAAGCGAGAGTAGCTGTGAGTGATAGGAATAGTGATAGGACTCTGGTGCAGTTTGGGAAGAATCCGAGGTGCTGGCCATAAAAGTGCCTCGTGCGCTGGCTCTCTCTCTCGCGAGCCGCCCTGCGTTGCGTGGGCCGGGTCAGCGGGCCATGTGCACGCGTGCGCTGCACCGAGCGTGGGCCGTGAGTGTGGGCCGCGCAAGAAACTGGTTTTCCTTTTTCCAAGGAATTAGCAAATGTTTTTCTAATTTAGTTTGAGGTGATCTTTGTAAATTATAACAAATCATGTAGGTGTCCAAAAATTGTGAAACAAATTTTGTTATGTTCCTAAAATTGTGCTTTATCTGTTAATTATTGTAGGAATTTTTGTGATAAATTGATGATAGCTTTAGTCTTGAAATTTTTATAGTAGCTTCATTGTATTATTGTGTGCTCACTATAATTTTTTGTGGCTTTTAAATAGACTAAGCATTATGGTAGTTAAATGCTCTTTGTTTCAATATACATTAAATCATCAATAGAAATTAAGATATATCCTTCCTTTGTAAAGCTATGTTGTTGTTAGTTGAACCCAACACTTGCTTCGTAAAAAGATGATTGTTAGCTTAGTACCTTGGTCATTAGAGCTAGCTTAATAGCTTAGTATGTGTATTCTTAGTCTAAGAGTTATTGTTGCCTAAATGCTAAGTGTTGCATCATCATCGCATGCATGTAGAGAACGAGCTGGCGGAGATCGTGACCACCAACGATCACGAGTTCGAGGAGATCATCGAGGAGTACGAGGAGGAGATTCTCGTATAGAAGGAGGTCCCGGAGCTGCCACTGACTAACTCAGCTGACACCGCGCCTGCCCAAGGCAAGCCCCGGTGCATAACCCCTTATTTTTGATAATCATTGTTTATATATGTTATGTGCATTTACGTTACAGGAATTTTATAGAAATCACATGCATAGATATACCTGTCCTAAGAGTCTTACTAGTAGATGCTATGCTTAGGTCTACCGTTGCTCACAATAGTGGATTATTATTACTCTCACAATAAAATGATGAAAGAAAAAATGGAGACCGAACAGGGATATGTATGGATATTGGTGGGTGTAACAGGTTATGTCCCGCGCCCAATGGGGCTTAGCTTGGTTACACTGTTTTTCCTATTCGTGTCGATTAAGGACCGTCCGTTCCTGTGGATGGTAGTCAGGTCACAGACTTATTATCCTGAGCACATACTTACTTATGGGAGCGAGAAGGCTCGTTACGCTCTTGTCGTGGGTTCTGGCTCTTTCCGGACCGACTGATTGGAGGCGGAAAAAGGTGGAGGTCTAAGTACCATGTTGAGACCGGGTCTCAAGTGTGGGGGCTTGGAGTCCAAGTTTGAACGGGGACCTGGACCCCGTGATAGGAGTGGAATGGGTTAGTCTTGCTTGTGCCTGGGGCACAAGCGGGGCATGTGTTTTGGGGTACCCAACTAGGATACATTGGTTCGCGAATCGCCATTTCTGTGAGACGGTACAACTTGGCTATGGTCTAGCACCATAGTAAGAACTGAAAGATGAAAGATGGTGAAATGGTTTTGATTGCTTAACCCTTGCTTGAAAGTAGAATATGTGCTTATCTAGAATGTTTAGCTAATGAAGTAATCATGACTGCTAATCAAACTTGACCCTAAGAACGTACTATTAGTAATGCTCTTTCGCAAACAAAGGAAAACAACAAACCATATTGCCTATCATATCCCTGGGAGTCGGGAGACTATTCCCACTAGTCGGGTCAGTCTTGTGAGTACATTGTGTACTCAGAGTTTATTTACCCTTATTGCAGGTGCAGTTTGAGAAGTAGCTCTTGTGTGGAGGATTCTTCTGGTGGGCACAGACGGATCCCTATATTGTTTTCGCTAGATGTTTATTTTTATTTTGTTGTTTAATTATCCCACTCTGAACTCTGGTACTGTAATAAATAATTTCTAAAAACTCTTGTTGTATGAAATGGACTAAGTATTGTAAACTTGTACTCATTATTGCATTCTGGATGTAAAACGTGGATTGTTTTGAGTTGTCCCTTGGGGTGTGCCTGACGGAACTGACCGATGTAGCTTATTTTCGAGGTGCTTAGTGTCTAGTAGAAGATGAGCATCTTCGAAAACGTGTTATTTCGGGTGGTTCTGCCATAAGAGAGGACAATTAGCTACATCTAGCATTTGAACTGAATCAGCTAAGCCATCTTTTTTTTTTTGAGAAGAATTTTATAAGACATCTAGCATAGCATCCTTCACACGTCCAAGGAGTTCCATCTCCGGCCCATATAATTCCACTTCTTTTTGTTTACGGTCCACGGCCCGGTTGACTAGCAGTGTAGCACGAGCCCAAGTACGCGCCCACTGCCCAGATAGCTTTGCCTCGCGCGAGACTCCGTCCCCGAACCTCCGAAAAAACTTCAGAGGTTCAAATGGCGGCGGCGGAGAAGCCAGCGGCGGTGCGGCGAGCGGAGGAGTTGGTGGAGAGGGAGATGGGCGGGCGCGACGCCTCCCACGACGCCGCGCACGCGCTCCGCGTGCGGGACCTCGCGCTCTCGCTCGCAGCCGAAGAGGGCCTCTCCGCCCCCGACCGCCTCCTCACCGTAACTAACCACTGGCTCGCCTCTCCTTCGTTTCTCCTCATCGTGCTGTCCCGGCGCGGAGAGTTTCCCGGTTTTCTGATGCACATGCCGTTTGGTTGCTCCAGGTGGAACTGACCGCTCTCCTGCACGACGTTGGTAACTCCTTACACCCCAAATTACCCTTTAGGGTTTGTTCGGATGCGCATGTATTCGTCTCAGTCCACATGTGTTGAAGTTGATTGGAGTGAAATTAAACTAAGTTCAATTCCAATCCACTCCAACACATGTGGATTGAAGTGGATACACATGCATCCAAACTAAGGCCTTATCAATTTCATTTGCTTAACCTCTGCAATCCATTTGAGTATGACTAATTTCTTTTTTTTTTGTGTAGGAGATTACAAGTATACCAAGTAAGGGCGTAAGGGAGCTTGTAGTGTTTTGTTAAGTTCATTCTTTTGTTTTCCAAAGAGTGGAAGGAAGTTGAATTAGAGTTAGCAGAACCCTTTGTGCTGTAGAGACCGTGCATTAGTGATAGACTGTTGGCTGTGTTGAGGAGCGAGTTTGATCTTTCGTATGTGATGAATTGATTACATAATTGGATATTGGGTAGGAACAATGTGGAGGATATGAGCGTCATTGAGACGTTTCTTCAAGAGGTAGGATCGGATGAAGCCCAGAAGGATGAAATAGTGGCGATTATTAAGGGGATGGGTGAGATATTCACTTATTCAGTTATTTGTGGATATGCATATGTACGAAATTTTTGTTCGACAACAGATCTCATTGGGGGCACAGTCTAGTTCAAACAGTTCATTTCTGTTGCTTATTCCTCTTTGACATGCATGTGTCCATTTTATTATGATCTCAGATTATTTATCTTCATCCACTTGTTCCTTCACTTATATTGCTGCAGAAAATTTTAATTCATTATGCCCTTTGCTAAGATACCTGTTTGCTGTTACATCATCTGAATACCCCCAAGTACCTCACATGAAAAAGGAACATCCATAAATACACTTAATGTATCATTGTTAGTTCCTAGTGAATCATTCTTGCAATTATGCTTGCAAAATGTCTTTCTAACCCTTTAATAAACTGCAGGGTTCAAAAACGAAGTTTTGAATAAATCTATTGTTGAGCCCACTTTAGAGTTTGCAATTGTACAAGACGCAGATCGCCTGGATGCAATTGGGGCAATTGGTAAGTACTTAAGTGGAGTTTTAAATTCTGTATGATCCGAATTTCTTTTAACAGTTATAATTATGCAAACTCTGTTTGTACCCAACCTTTTCCAGGTCCGTTTCTTCCTATGTTTGTCTGAATTCTGCTGGAACAAATCCGCTGAATGTTTCTTTCACTATTAGGTTTTACCAAATAGACTGTTGTCGGAAAATAGCAGTATGCGTATCTCTACAAGCATTGCAAACCAATAGTATAGCTTCCTGACTCCTACTTAGGCACTCCATCAACTTCTCTTAGGGCTGTCATGCATATTTCATTTGTCTCAGCACTTGTCTTCTAACAGCATTTACTTCCTGTAGCTCTTCACCTATCTGATATTCTGTGATATGCTAATCGCAATAGTGTACCACCAGCCAGACGAATCTTGAACCTGGTAGCATGTAGATGCGAATGTATGTTAACTTATGCAACTCTTAAACTTGAAGATGGCTAGAAGAGCTAAAGCAGGGAAAATATAAGACGAAACCTCTGCTATTGTTCTCTACTAGTTTTCTTGTTGTCTTGACCCAATAAGTGCTTATAAATTTTCTACTTATATGCATTATATGGGGAAAGAAAACCAAAGATGCACATATTTTTGGCTACCTTTGTAGTTCAAATAAGAACTCTGTGTTTAGCCTTCTCATGTGATACATGTAGGTATTGCAAGATGTTTTACATATGGTGGGAGCAAGAACAGCGCATTACATGATCCTAGAATTCTTCCACGTGATAACTTGTCAAAGGAAAAGTACATGTCCAAGGAAGAGAATCAGACATCAATCAATCATTTTCACGAGAAGCTTTTTAAACTGAAGGACATGATGAAGACAGAGGTAATTATTCATCTTTTTAATAGAAGTCTTGTGACTGCTGCACGTTCATCTTGTATAAATTCAGGAAGAAAGCACATAATTTGTGATACATGTACACCTAATGAACCTATTAAGAGTTGTAGAGTGATTTTTGGTCTAGTTCGCTTCATTTTTCTGTTTGGGGGAAATTAGTTTGCTACTTTGCTTCATTTATTATGCACATAATTTGTGGGAATTAGATTTGCTTAGTCCTACTCCTGTTAGCGTGTATTGATGTCATGATTAACAGTCGCCTGTTATTTGTTCCCTATTCGATTTTTTATTATTGTATCATAGTATCAGGCTATTTTTATGCGTGTATCATAGTACCAGGCTAGGTTTACCCAGAAATACACTCATTCCCCTAGTTCACTGTGTGCATAGGCCGGGAGAAGGAGAGCTGAGAAAAGGCATAAGTTCATGGAGGACTTTGTGGCTGAATTCTACGAAGAGTGGAGTGGCAGGGGTTGAGGTTGAACAACCAGGTTTTGGGCTTGTGTGAGAGTGCAGTTGGCCAACCATTTCTCAACAACCCATGATGATGTTCGTCTACCTGACCTATTTTCTGCTGTGAAGTCAGGCAAATGAACAATGCAAAGCCTATTAGATTGGCTGAACAATCATACGGTCCTGTGATAAGCAGTCAACCCACTAGCAATTTCGTGTATGCCACTGGAGCTGGAGTACTTTGCCATGTCCAAGTAGGTCCTAGATGGCACTGAGTGCAGTTGATGTACCGCAAATTTATTCAAACAGATGCCATGGCATCTTGCTGCTGTTGTACTGAAATAATACTGCTACAATATACCGGTTACATCACCTGAAGGTTGAGTATCTGGCCATCACACACATACATATACATTTATACATAACGCAGAAGTTCTATACTACATGTAAACGAAACAAATGAAGTACATAATAACAGTATATATAGACTACAAAGAAAGAGACAAAATGAAAACACAGAAATCTTGTTCCACATCAGCACCAGCTTCCACTCACACAAAGTGGCACAGCGAAGAGTCCTGCTGCTTCCATGTCTTTCTTCAGTCTCTGAGCCTCATCATTGGCAGCAGGCTCGGCAGTCGGCACCACAGCTCAGAGCTTGGTCTTGTCTCTCTTGGTCAGCGTCACCTTGAGCCCGTGCTTCATGTACATGGTGAGCGCCAGCTTGGGCGCGACGGGGTGGCCCTCGACGACGTGGACGCGGTAGCGGTGTAGGATGGAGGCGGCGGCAAACTTCATCTGGTAGTAGGCGAAGTCCTTGCCGAGGCACAGGCGCGGCCCGCCGTTGAAGGCGGTGAACTTGTAGGCGGACTCGCTCATGAAGCGGCCGTCCCGGAGCCACCGCTCCGGCTTGTACTCCCGGCAGTCGTCGCCCCAGATGCTCTCCATCCGCCCCATGGAGTACATGGCGTAGATCACCTTGGTGCCCTTCTTCAGCACCGTCCCGTCCGGGAACACCTCGTCCTCCACGACCTGTCAGCGTATTGCATCAGTACTGGAATTAGCAATTGTTATTTTTGAGGGAAAATTAGTAATTGTTATCAATATTTCAATACAGACATATGGTCTCAAATTGAAGTCCTATTTGCACAATACAAAATTAAGCTTACTTGATTTAGTTATCGGTGATCTGGTGCACCAATTAGCAACCTACTACTTACAAGGTAGTAGGAGTAGCTACTCTTAGATTTACTTGTTGCAAATAAGTAAATCACCTTTACGAGTCTAAGTTATTTCCCCCCAAATGTATTCATTTTCAATAAAGGGGTAGTTATAAACGAGTAAGATGGGTGCAGCTACTGACTGTAACTGAAAATTGGCCCAATAACAGGCGTCTTTATCAGGTCTTCAAGTCTTCACCGACAATATACACCCCAAAGAACATGTAGGCAACGTCTAGATGACCAACTTGCAACCTAAACTCCTGCCCACGTCCCTTTTTTTTCTCCTCTCTCACGGCACATCAACTTCAAGATGTGTTGAACCCATCACCCAATCAGAATCAGCCTATCATTAGTTCCGTGCATGATGCAGCTGGCCAGCTTCCAACTGTAGAGGATCTAGTGCATGCAGAGGAGTATCAGTGTAACACAGTGACAAGACTCTATCAACTCATTTTTGGTACTACTAACACCCAACCATAATATATCAAGAAATCAACCTCAGATTTCCTCCTCATGGCATTGTTTTATTGTGCACTTCTATATGTCAAATGCTTGATCTTTTGTTGTTGTTCAGATAACATGCATGTAATTTTATCATTGTTTAAAATTAAAATTATGTTTTGTCAATTGTCCTTTTAATTGCACTAGTTTATTGTGTAAGATTGTTGACTAAAAATTCAGGCACCTGAAATATATCAACTCTCACTACTGTGTTGGTGTAGGATGCAAATCTCTTTGTACCATTGGTGTCACTATTTTCACTTTACCATGGATTCCAATCAAATTTCCTAGCACGACAACCAGTCTATTTCATTTCTTGTTTTCTAGTGCCCAGGGGAATTGGTGTGGGCAGCTTCTACTTTTGCAATTCATGTAGATTGCATCTTCCAAGCCGTACCCGTACCTAGCTCACATGCAGACAGAGCCATCTACTCACACACTTGGGACTCGGCACTACAAGGACGAGTTAGTTTCACCGAACGACGACCACGGCAATACAAGACCGAAGCACTCCTCCATCCAAAATGTAGAACGCGTGCTCCTTTTATTTGCCACACTCGCTCTTGTTTTTCATTATGTTTGTTCAGCTACGTTCTAAAAAAGAACATACGCTTGTTTAGAATACAGGAATTTCAAACATGGCCTTAAGATCTTATTATGTTGTTGTATAATCTAGTGTAGTCTATCAAGCACATGCATATGTCGATGAATAATACAGTTTGTACGGGCATGCATGGTTTCAGTATGGGCGTGCTTGCGTACCTCCTTGTGGTCGACGGGGACGGACGGGTAGAGGCGGAGCGCCTCGGAGAGCGCGGCGTGGAGGTACTCCATCCGCTTCACCTCCTCGGGCCTGAACACCAGCTCCTCCTCCTCGACCTCCCTGCCTGCCTCCTTCCGCGCCGCCACCATCCCCTCGATCTCCTCCACGATCTTGGCCTCCACGCCGGGGTTCCTGCCGAGCAGCCAGAAGAACCACGCGAGCGCCACCGACGAGGTGTCGCGCCCGGCCAGGATGAAGTTGACGCAGATGTCGCGGAGGAACTTGTCCGTGTACGGGCGCCCGTCCTCGTCGCGCATCTTGGTGAACACGGTGAGCAAGTCCGACCTGCTGCGCCCGGCCGCCTCGGCGGTGGCTGCGGCCTCGGCGGCGAGCTCCTCCTTGCGCCTGCGGATCACGTCGTACGCGAACTCGTCGACGCCGGCCAGGCAGCGCTGGAGCACGCGCTCGTGCCCGACGCCGAGCGCGCGCATCGCGCGCCACACCGCGGTGGGCGTGATGAAGCGGATGGTAGTGGCCTCGGTGGCGTCCTCGAACGCCCGGGCGAACGGGATCTCGGGGAGGCCCGGGCGGAGGCAGCCCGGGTCGACGCCGAAGGCGATCATGCAGACGTTGTCGAACGTGAGGCGGAGGAGCACGTCCTGGAGGTCGACGGCGCCGGTGGTGGCCTCGGCGTCGGCCAGCACGGGGAGCAGCCGGCGGTGCACGAGCTCGACGAGCGAGCTGGCCGTGAGCGCGCGGAACTCGGCGGAGTGGAACTCGAGGCTGGCCGCCTTGCGCTGCCGCCTCCACACCTCGTCGTCGGCGCCGAAGATGCCATCGCCGAGGAGGTCCCCCACGGTGTCGCGGAAGTAGGGGCCCTTGGGGAAGCTCCCGAACCTGGTCTTGAGGAGGTGCTCCAGGTTGCGCGGGTCGGCGGTGACCACGCACTGGAGGTTGGTGAACCACGGCCCGCGGAACGTGAACGTGCCGCCGCGCGCCTTGAGCACGCCCGTGATCCACTCGTACATGTCGCTGCGGATGCCGAGGAGCAGGGACGGGAGCATGCCCACGAGCGGCCACGTCGGCAACCCCTGCGTGCGCCGCTGCCGCAGCGAGTGGATGGCCACGAAGATGGACGCGGCCACCAGCAGCTCCACCGTCTGCACCTCCGGGAGCAGGCCCGCCAGTCCGCCGCTGCCGGCACCGGCCGCCGCCGCAGCAGCAACCGTGGCGTTTTGCCAGACGGCGGTGTCCATGGCGCTCATGGATGGTGTTGGCGTAGGCTGCTGGGCAAAGAAAGGTGGTGGTGGCGGCTTGGCCTTGGCTTGTGAGTGCACTAGCTGTGTGAGTTTCTGGAGAGGGTTCCTGAGGGTGCTGCGATATATAGGCGTGTGCGTGTCTGATGCCGGCCGGTGTGGTTGCTAGCTTGATGGCAACAACATACATACGGGCCGTTTTGATTTGGTGAGCGGAAAGTCTTGAGAACGAAACTAGCTACTGTAACGTCCACGTCCGTAAACTCATTTTGTCACACACGCGTCCACGCTAAGCTCGGGGTGAAAACAGCTTAATCTCTACAACTAAAACGACCCAAATGGCATCGTTTTAGCCCCGCTTATCTCCGCTTAGCCGCGCTAACTGCCCCCGCTAAATACCGCCGCCTGCGCGCTTCGCCCAGCCACGGTCTCTCTGCCACGGAACTGCCGTCCGCGCACGACGCCATCCACCGCTTCGTCTCCCCACGACGCCGGCTGCCCCCACCACGCCTCCATTCCGGCACGAGCAGGGCGGATTCAACGGGGAAGGGGCCCTTCGATTCAGCTGCGATGGCCCTGCCCGGACATGGTGCGGCGCCGGCAGCGGTATCCGGCAAAGCCGTCCTATGCCCTGCGCCGATCCAGATTACGGCCGAGAAGATCCTCGGGAGGCCAGGGAGCGCCGGAAACCCAAGATCCACCCGCCCAAGCAGAAGAGACTCGTCGCCGCCGCCGCCGCTACCGCCTGCGCAGCCGGAGAGCGGTTCCATCTCCATGGTCGCCTCCTCTTCCTCCTCCACGGTAGAGATTTTTGCTCAAGCATTGAATGTTTAGATAATATCTGATGAGTATATCAATTGAGTATGCTTGACATATGTGATTTATGCGGTTAATTCATGTTCTACAAAGGAGCCCGAGGCTCGACTAGGGACGAAGGAGGCGGCAGTGGTGTGGGAAGCCGGACAAGCAAAGCGACTCTAAGTCATGGGCACGGCTCGCGCCCATGGGGACAGCCGGACAGCCAGAAGGAGGCGGCGGCGATTCAGCCACCTCGCGCACGCAGCGTGCCTTCCTCGTCGGCAGCAACGACTTCGTGAACAACTGCTACCTGGTGCCCTTCCCCGTGGCCATTGTTTCTGACATTTTGTATGTTTTTGTTTTTCCCACCATTTATATAGCTTCAGCTATAATGTGTGTTTCTCCCAATTGCCATTTGTCAGAAAACTAACAATATCATACAAAATCTGACAATTTAAGGAAACTGATTGCGTATTCTCATTT